CAGTCTACCTGCTATGCCTCTGTGTTTTGCTCTTCTGAAAATACTCCGAGTCTCAAAAGCAGCACATAATAAGCCACATAACTGTTGCCTCTGCCTCTTGCTGTCTGATTCATCAAAAAATTGGCTGGCCTATAAACTTTTTTTAAAAAAAAAAACTTTAAATTGCATGGTAGTCCTTGGATTGCTGGGAAGGAAATGAGCGGAAAGCTAATTCTGATGATCTTTTCCCTGCCACCAGCATTCCTGATGCTATTGAATATTCTGTACTCCACATCTGTGAGAGCACAATGAGCCTTTGTTCATTTTTTAATCTGAAGAGAAATCTGTTGTCGGAGGTTGCACAGGGTGATAGCAGCCCAATTTAAAAGTCTTAATTATTTATTTTTAAAATACTTGGCATCTGACAATGGAAAATGTCCTTGCTCGGTTCCTAGTCTCTTAGGATTGCTTTGAACTCGCTCGCGTCTTCTGGGATCCATCAAATGCTCATTGTGGCTTTTCTCTCATAAGCACTGAATGAGGTTAGCTGTGATAGTCTCCATTAGATACAAACTTTCCGTCTTTGTAGGAGGGTAATAAGAGCAAAGTTGTCGTGCGTGGGAATGGCGATTTCTGTCTGATCCAAGCAAAGGAGACCCATCCAAACGGAGAGCACAGAGCCACGTGTTTGCTGTGCAACGTGCGGAGGAGAAGTCGCCCATTTGAAGCAGGCTCAGCTTTGGCAACTCAATGGCTTTTCTTAAAGAGGATTTAGCACTCGGGGGCAGTTCTGCTTAATAAAGTCAGAGCTGATTCCCAGTGTGCAGTATTTCTGAGTAATTTTCATGTACACTGTTTGGGTGGTCTGTTCTTAAAATATTGGGATGTGGCAGTCCGCTTTTGATTCAAAAATCCTCATTTTGCCTGGTTTGTGGAGTGGTTGGAAGAGGGCTGTTGAAAAGGTAGGTGGACCGCAACAAGGAGGAAACTGCCCCGTGGCTTGGTGGAGAGAGAGACGTAGCTGGTGGGAACACGGAGGTGAAGATGCTCCAGGCCAAGGGGTTATTCCGTTCTTAGATGTATGCGGTGCCTTCATTCGTGTGAGAGTTTAATTACTGTCACCTGGGAAAAGGCCTGAAATGACTGGATTTTTCTGGGCACAAGAGAATAGAAAACATGATGTCATTGGCCTGAAATGACTGGAGGTTGGACCAGTTGGGCACTGGATTTTTCTGGACACAAGAGAATAGAAAACATGATGTCATTTTTTAGGGCGACTGGCAATTATCTCCTGGGCCGGGTGAGAGTTTTCTCTCTAATCCTCTGTTTTAAGAAACTTGTAACATTCTGAAGATTGTCCCCTTCAGTGAGATTTTTTCAGGCTTAATCTCTCCTGTACAGCAATTCTCTTTCAAGTTTCAGTGAAAACAATTCTGCTCTTCTACAGTGTTGAGGGTGTGAAAGCATAAAGTTTTTCCATTAGAAGAAAACTCTTGCCCTCTCTCTGCCTTGGTGAAGTTTGATGGCGGCAGTGCTATTCGTATAATTTTAGCATAAGAGTGAGTCCTCCTGCAAGAAAACTGCCTTCGTGTGGTCAGTGAAGTTTTTCTTTTATTTTAGCCATATCACATTAGTGAAAATTTCAAGCTTCTTGGACACTGCATGTTTTAAATAATAGTTCTTTACAAGGTGCATGCAAGCGTCCCACTGTGTTGCATGTCTGAGGGTTAAGAAAGTTCATGTAAGCCCTTCCTGGCCTTGTTAGTTGTAACAGAGCTAGATGTGATAGACTCACAAATCCAGTATGTTGTGCAAGAGCAAACAGGGCTGTTGTGTCCCCTGGGAGCTCTGCCCGCGGGAAGGCTCTTTGGAGCAGTCAGCTCAGAGGCTGGAACGGAGCGTTCTGGCTGTGGACACTCAGTGACACGCTATAGCATTGGCACTGGGTCTAGCCAGCTTTTCCAAATCCTAAGGGATTCTGAGCCCTTAAATATATATATTTTATATATCTAATTTTGGAAAACAAGCTACTGTGAAATTGCCTGCAAAAACGTACAACACAACAATGCTTCTTGGCACTGAAACTGGGCCGTGGCAGCGTTCGGTTTGGATGCGCAGGCGTGGGTGATGCTCCATCGTGTTCTTCAGGATGACGTATCATAAAAAGATCCTAATTTTCGTTAGCCTTAAATGCCCTTTTCTTGCATTCTGTACTGCTGCTTTGTATGTAGCAGGCGCAGACAGTAGAAATCATTCATATGCAAAGTGTGCCTTATATTGTATATACTAATTATATAATACGGAGTAATAATGGAAATTTTCTGGTGTGTTTAGACCACTTAAGTATACAGTGAAATTAATTTTATGGTTAACTGTCTTATTCCTGATTTGTACATAAAGAACATTATGCCATCCATAGAAAATATTAAGTACCTACTGATAAATGCATACAAGATTATGTATATTAAGTATTAAAAGAAGGAAATGGCTTTAGATACACTACATTTTATTGTAAATTGTGGGAAAACAGATGATATTATATTAGGGGAGAGAATAGTATGTGATCACATAATTAGAAAATGGTCCTCATACTGATGCTCAGCAGCGTACAGGTGTGGTTTCATGAGCAGCCTGAACTATGGAGCTTTGTGAATGCAACTTTACCATCCTCTTAAAATTGTTTTTGCAATGTACACGTGTGCAAATTATATAATAGCAATTCCTGGGAGACTCTGCTCCTAAAATGTTCCTTCTAGCTATATGAACATATACAGAAGCTACTGTGTGACAGATGATGATAATTTTTCATATAAGACAGTTCCTTTTGACTTGATGGATGTGGAGAGAGGGACCACGCTCTTTGGAAAAACACCAGGGAGCAGTGGGAAAATGTTTCAGGGTGTATGGTAATCAAGGCAGAGTGTGGTTCTTGATTAGTCTCTGAAATTGCCCTGCTGAGATGTGGGATCTGGTTTAAGCACCTTTTTACTTTAGCCCTTTGCACTGCTATCCAGAAGTGTATTGTAAAAATTAATTTCCTTAAAAAGCTGTGAGCAAAAATGATCCGAAAAGGTTGTGGCATATACTGAACCTGCTTAGTGATACTTTCCTTCATAAGCTCCTAGGAGGACTACATACTGAAGTATTTTATATAGTATAACTCATTTTAGACTTTACTTTAAAGGAGAGTAAAATGCAATTTGCAAATATATTGTGAGCTTTTGTCTGCGTTGCTTACATTCAAGCTTAAGCAATTCCACCTGCAACAAACTGTTTCTGATATCTATGGAGACGGATGGAGGTTTCTCCATGCACATTTGTTCAAAGCATGAGCTGTCAGAACCTGGAGGCACCACCAACTTAGTGAGACATTGCCAGCATCTCGATGTGTGCTGTGAATACACTGGAAATAGAGAGGCCAGAACAGGGGGAGAAAATTGCTTTCCAATTTTATGAAGCTCGAGTGAGTGCCAGATGATTTTTTCATTTTTTTGTTAGCCATTTGGGG